AAAATATTATTCAAAATCACCATTTTTAGTACGAGAGCGAAAACTGCATTTATATAGCTTATACGCATACCTATTAATATATCACGAAACGCTTCGAACCAGAATTAAATGACATTCAACAAGACGTATAGTGGCATTACTCAATACCTACTTAAATGACATAGATATCTACTGACTGATAGCTGCAACAGTAACCCGAGATAATGATATGACACGTTTACGATAAGAAAAAAAAACACATTGAAACTATTTGAATTAAGTACCTATGGCAACAAAAATTGAAATGGCCATTGGTATATTATGGTGAGGGGTGGTAGGGGAGGGTTATGATGATATTTTCTGTACCATATATATACGACGTTTTTATAATATATTAACCACAACTGATTAACTATTACATTCGAAATACGATAACATGATCCTATATAAATTAAAAAACGGATTATATACGACGAGGCAAAATAAAACTCGCGTCGCCATCATTGCCTCGTTAATATTACCTATAATACTCGCGGGTGATGTCGGTGCGGGGTTACAATAATATGTTTTACGTTTGTTTACGTGTGGTATATTATTACATATTATTATGCTCGTATAGGGTGTAGGTAAATAGGATAAGCATAAGCTGGATCGTCGTCGTTATCCCAGTATGTATATATACCCACACAATACACTCGCGCATTATACATTATTATTTATAATATTACGACCAGGTCCCGCGCAAGAGTTAAACTGCCCGATGATTTAACGGTTAGAAAGGAGGCGCGCGCGAACGTTTTTAAAGACTCAATTTCTTTTTTGTACACTGCACCCAAAACGACGTTACCACGACTCGAGGACCTGAACCGCGGTAGGGGATCGGAGCTGGCTCGCGAGCGCAGACGATACGACGACCGGAGCTGGTTGACGCACGTGCAGTAGGTATAATGTGCAGTGCGCGTGCGTGTGTGTACAATAACAATATATATAAATCTTTTGTCATGTTAATTGGATAATCGTTAGCCGAAATATTCGTGTGTAAATGTGTGTGTATGACAGTGTGAAAGCCATTGCGAGCACACATATGCAAGATATATATTATATACATATTATATGACGATCGTTATGAGCGGCAGCAGTGACGGTTTATTTTTATGTGCGTACGAGCGTTATATACACATTTTTATACATTAAAACATAAATAATAGTAATAATAATAATAATAATAAAAAAATATATAAATAAATAATAACGAAAAAGAAAAACGCGCCGGACACGACGACGTCTCGCGGGTCTGACCACCACCGGCAGCAGTTACCCGTACACACACACACACACACACACACACACACACACACACGACGTGCCTACCTATATGATACGTATGCGAGCTTGGTGTGAGTGCGCGCGGTTCAAACGCTGTGGAATGCTGCTCGTGTGCGCCCCCCCGCAGCGGACACTCGTCGTCGTGTGACAGTCGACAAATTTCCTCCGTTCGTTTCCATTTTAATTTTTTTTTCACTTTTAACGACTCGAAGAAAAAAACATAACCTTACTATTTCCCACTCCCTCAGACAGACGCGTGACGAATATTTACAGCCGATAAAGCACGGGGAGATTTTAAGCCGTAAAGTCACTGTTTACTATTTAGACGTGGCACTTCTGGACGCTGCGCAGACCGCAATAAGAGTTATACATTTATTATTTTAATATTATACGGTTTTCTCTTTTTGAATAGGAATAATATTTTGATGCCGGGGACGTCGACGCTGGTCGTTTCGGCTTGCGATTTAAATTCGTCTATGTAATATTATAACTAATGTCGTTTTAAGTCTCGTTTTTTACCGACTCGTTATCATTATCAACTGCAGTATTATATACACGATGACAGCCAAGTCCTGGTGGTATATTACGTTGCTTTAGCGCACGCGTTATATGGAATAAATACCTACTGTCATTATAGGAGTAAGATAATTCTGCAAGCTCGAGGACAGATTGTTAACAGTGATGTTTTTGGACGATAAACGAAACGATTTAAAAAACAATATCATAGAAATGTATAGGCTTGTAAAAATGAACGCTCAATACGTAGGTGCATAATAATAAAAATAAAATAATAATAATAATATTACAATAGGTGGCTGCCGCTGCCTCGATTACGCTTGATGTAGGACGTAGGTATGTATTATTTATAATTTTTTATGATCGATGGAAACGATTTTATTATGTATATGCGGGGGACAACGACGACAAAGCAACGGTCGTTACGTCGCGTTTATGGCTGTTTTCTTGTTATCGTGTCGCTATCATAATAATATTGTCGTGTTTATTGTACACATCACATTACGCACCTAAAATCGGTTGATAGGTAGGTCGAAACCGTATGCGATAAAAGCAATACTTTAGTTTTGTTATTTTTCTATCCCAACGATAACGTGCTTCGAAACCTGAAAAAAAATATGCCAGGAAACGTGCAGTACCCACTGCTATATAATATTATGATACCTATAATTTGTGCTGCTAAGACATCAATCGTACTACCACAAGGTACAATCCATCCAGAGTTATTTTCAGTGGCACAACTATAGAGTAATGGCATTATGCAGACATAAAGTCGTGGGCTTACGGCTACAACAGAAGCGGGGCCAATCGGTCATCACTGAATACATCATTTAGCAATATTGTTATAAATATTATAAACATGTTCGTAGTATTATCATAGTAAAATGATGTTTTTTTATTTGGATTCTGTGATTTTTTCTGGGAAAATACGTTGGAATTGCACATTATTGAACCGGATTATTTTGCCACCAGCACTGTAAATCCTAGTTACGCCACTGATCATTATTAGTTATTACTTATTAGTTATTACTATTAATGTTATCGTCGAGAAAAAAACACCGGCCTTCACAACGTAACTAAGATTTTTATAATGGCGTGTGCGAATCGTGTAGAGCATTATTATATGAGTTGGGAGTAAGTATCGGAGGTTTATTGGTAGGCTAGCGGCTTATTTGATCTCTCACGAAGAACATCTAATAACATCTCTTGCAGCAGCAGTGGCGTTGGCCGGACGTGTCATTACCCATATATGCCTATATTTTTTTTCTCCTCTCCGTTTAACTACCCGCCCATATCGTCGTATCGTATTTATTATATCGCCGTTATATTACTATTCGCGTCCGATAACGTCGTCGTCGTCGTCGTTGAGGGGGAAAGAAAAAACAAAATTCTCGCGCGTAAAGTCAAACGTTTATATTTTAACAACAATAAAAACGACTTGGTTTCGCGAGTGAGCGGTCGTCATTACCCCCGGACACACACATACACATATATTTCATGTAGGGTCATATTGGAGTGGGTATATTATACTTGAACATACCACTACAGGTAATATACGCGCGCGCGTCCGGGCCCGGTTTTATAATAATTATTATCGTCGCGCGGTGAGTCGGAGAAACCTTTTGTCCAACACCTGATAATTAGGAAGTGGGCGTAAGCACAGGAATTATGAGTGACAATTGACGGTGCTGCCTCTCTTTCTATTCCCATTACCGCCACCGCCGCCGTATGGTGTTATTGCGGCGGCTCATGTACTGCAACAGCAACAACAACTATAATAATAATAATATGTAATATTGTAAAGCCGGTCGACGTGTTATTATTATTATTTTGTTTTTGTTTTTTTTTTTTATTTAATTTTTCGAAGGCAATTTGAAATTTATGACGGCTCGGACCCGTAGGGCGGCGGTGGTGGTGGTGGCTGCAGTGGCGGGCGGAAGACCGTAGTACGACCTGGGTATTTACCGCGCGTTTAATACGTGCGGTGGTGTAGAAACGGGATAGATACCATCATCGGCGGCCCAAGGTGTCAGTTATAAAAAAAAAAAAACTGTTAATTGCCGGTTAGTTATCCATTATACGACCACCGATGACGGACGGGGGCTAGACGACGACGGCGGCGGCGATGTATAATGTATACATGGATATGATATACCTACCTAATGCACGTTATTATAACATGGGTACTACATATTATTATTTTACTATTATTGTGCAGCGTAATTGTATCTAACTCTTATATTATCATACCGCCGCCTCATTTCGTCACTCGTCTCGTTGCTGTATAGTAGTGGCCGTGTGTATTTACAAGCTGAGCTTGCAAAATCAAAAGATAAGTTGAAACAGCTACATTTAGCTTGTTATGAGTAGTGTAGTAGAAGAATTCGAGATTGATAAAAACAGGTATCTATATTATATGTACATTGTATTATGCCAGGCTAGCCGAGCATCTTGCAGAAGCCGACAAACTATAATAGTTATTATACCGACCTTAGGTTCGTCTTTCTGTGTAGGCATATAAATATACATAATAAGTATATCATAATATGCTTTCGTGATGTACAACAGAATTTCCTGAGAGCTGATAGAAACAGACAGACTGCTGTGTGGCGGTTTTGATGATCATAATAATAATGATAATGTAGCTATGCAAGTCTATATAGCCGGCGGAAATGACGTTATAACGTCATGATCTTAACGTGCACTCGAAATCAATTACACTGAAAACGGTTTTTTTATTCACTTTGGAAACTATGTAGTGTAGCACTCTATATATATATATTATTTTATATATTTTATGCATAATATATAAGACGTACTGGCATGCCGAGAGCGATGTCGTTCGACATTCAGCAGACCGATGTGGAGAGAGAGAGATAGAGACTGAGAGAGCGCGCCTTACCCATTTCACAACGATTGAACGATGTTACATTATCCAAAGTCGCGTCTGCTGCAGCATACTATATCATATCAGAAACTATATTATATTATGTATATATGTATATGACTCGAGTTCTAATTGACCTACTTACACATGTCTGTCTATATATATAAATAATACCATTATTGTATCGATATTTCTCACGCATAATATTATATACATTTTTTACGTCGTCGTCTTCGTTTGTATTAAACACACGTCATAATATCGATTCGTCATTTTTGTTTTATCCCCGCAGATCATTTTGAACTCGATGCACAGATATCAGCCCCGGATACATCTGGTCAAGTGGAGGGGAATGGTGACCGACTTGGACGCGGAAAAGTACCGGTCTTTCGTGTTCCCAGAAACCGTATTCACGGCCGTCACGGCTTATCAAAATCAACTGGTAAGTACAAAACTGCATGTGTACCTAACTATACATAAATATTACGCGCGTGATGGTGGTAGAGTTCGACTTCTGCAATGTAAGTGCGGGTTAGTATGGTATATAGACACACGGAGATCCTTTTATATACCGCGGCTGCAATATCTCAAAAGTGTACGAGAAATGTTTAACGAAACATACAGATAACCGCGTATTATGGAAAAATGGTACATTAATATATTATGTTCTTAAACGTTGAAATAAATAAATATAATTATATATATATGTATATAATCCGAGTATTTCCTAAGACATTTCCGACCGGTTCCCGATATCTATAGGTTCCTACAATTCGACATTTCGACAATATGCGTATGTCTGTCTGGTCGTCAACGGCGCGCGCGCTTCGCAGCGGTCTTCGGGGATTTAGTTGACAGCCAGCAGCAGATAAGTAGACAGGTCGTGTGCACGGTGTATACGTATTATTTTATACACATATTGGTTGCTGTGTGTACCGCGGTAGCCGTTCACCTGACAAAAATCGTTTTTTTTTCCAACTCAGTTCCTTTTCATTCTACGCGTAATTTATTTCCCCCGGCGCGCTTCGTTGTCGGATCTCGAGCGCGTGTGTGACGTTTACATAATATTATATTATATAGGTACCTATGTAGTTACGCGGGTTTATAAACGACATGTACCTACCACGTGTGTTGTATGCTGTATACTAATTATATTATTATTATTTCCACGCGAATTAAATTCCAAACGTTCATCGTGTCGCGACGTTTTGTTCCGTTTTTTTTTATAAACGCCGTACCCGAACTCTTCCATCCTTCCAAAGCTTTTGGTTGCAGCGTCATCGTTAAATATCGTACGCTTATTGTATACGCATGGCAGATTGCTAACACCTCGTACAGAGTAGTAAAGTTATGTTATATTGTATTTTTTATTACGCTTTAATTTTAATTACACGTTTTATGTCTTCGGTAATCATACAAACGTAATATGTAATCATATAACTCATAACTAATAAATGTTAACTCTATTTAAACCCATTAAAGCACGCCCCGAATGACTAAACATTTCAATATAATACAACTAATACATATCTGCACTATCTGCGGACTAAAATCGTAATGAAAAATTCAGTTTACAGAGAAATATAATTTTACCACATGACCTACCTATGCCTACTATTATTATCTGTATACTGACGGAGAATATAAAAACCGCAGTAAAAAATTCTAAAACATTTAAACTCGTTTTGCTTCTTTCCTAGAATTTCTATAAAATAATTGTAAATACTAAATACCTATATAATGATGTCCAACTTTCCACTTATAAATAGTATTTTAATCATAGTGATCAACTACAATTTTTTAGATTAATATAAATCCAACTTTTTAGTTGTTATTATATAAAGTGATTATTCAAGAAATATATAAAAAGTATACCTAATCAGTGCCAGTTGCACAATTTTGTTAATCGATGCAATCTATATTCTCAGGGATAAAATTACACATATTTTATCATACTACTAAATGATCCCGCAGAGCTAAATCTGACGTTGAAATTGTTTCCATCACACTATTATCACGTACCTATACCTATCTCTGTAAATGGTTCAGCGTTTAAATTCTGAAGAAAAACTAACCGTATTACCCTACGTAATATAGAAGTATGGAATTACCTATAAATATATATATATATAATTAATATAAGGAAGCTTTACAGTTTAGAGGGTTTCACTCCCTTCCCCATCCAGTCATACAATAACAAGCTGCAAACCATGGCGTTGGAGTTGTATAATATTTTGGTGATCGACATTCGACACTTAGTGATCGTCGTGCTTATATTTTTGTTCCCATAAAATGTCTAATTTATTGTTTAAAGTCGTATTGACGACCTACTGGCCATTTCAACTCTAAACGTATTAAGTACCATTGCCCGACTTTCACGCGCGAATAATTGTAATATTATCATATTTATTAATGTATATATAATAACAAAGGTTTTTAATGTATTTTTTTTTCATTACAGATCACGAAATTGAAAATCGATAGCAACCCATTCGCCAAAGGATTCCGTGATTCTTCTCGATTAGGAGAACTCGAAAGGTGAGTGGTCGATTTTTAATACACAATTGTCTATACAGTACAATAATGAAGAAAGTATAAAAGTCATGGGGTTAAAAAATTCGGAACTTTGTACATACACGAATTCGTGCAACTTATATATATATATAAATAACGTTTTTTCTTATACAGAGTTCATATTATACGAATATACGAATATCATGAGTGCTAGTTTGAAACCAGTATTTTTTCACATCGTCCTCCCTCTAAAAATAAAAAATGAGTAACAACTGCAGTTGCTTATGATTTTTTTCATATTTAGTTTAAACAATCGTCGTGACTATTCGACAATAGTGTGCCCTGCAGCTATATACCTTGCGCGGAAATTACTCATAGAACACCGATTAATGTAAGTTTTGTATACAAAGCCATAATTTAAAATATTTAGAGTACAGACTACGAAAATATTCATTCTATTTGGTGTATAGTTAGAGGTGCTCCAATACAATATAGTTGAACTTTGTACGAAATATGTTGTATACATTCCGCGAAATGTACAATTACTTGACTCTACATTATATATATAGCATATTTAAATATATATAATAAGGTGTAGGTAACGAGCGCCGCCGTGCAAAATATTTCGTTGTTAAAAAATAAAATAAAAAAAAACGATAATTATTTCTCGCTCTTACAACATCGCGTTTTTGTTTCATACCATTATATTACATACATACATATATATATATATATAACCTGCAGTAATATATATATATATATATAAATAGGTACTGAAACTGTTATTTTCTCCGTATGCGTATAATATTGTTTTTTTTTTATGTTTCGACACCTCCTACTCGATATATAACCACCGGCGGCGGAAAAGAGCCGGTCACAAAAGAAAAGAAAAAGTAACACACACACACATTTACGTATAATATAATATACAGTCCCCTTAAAACCTATCATTTTGACACGTTGTTATATGGCAAATTTACGCACGGGTGATGTATATAGAATCGGGTTTCCAGTCGTGCCACAAAATTACAGGGCACGGTATCGCCGCGATGTATTTTACACGCGATTCCGTTTACACCTATATATACATAATATAACATATTAGGTACCTACACATTATACTGCACACACACACACACACATATACATGTTCGCTTTGAGGTGTAGCGCTTTAATACGTATTTTATATACGTGTATATATGAATTTAGGTAGGAACTTGTGTGCGTGTGTATATTAAATACTGCCACTCGCCATACAAGTGGTGGGTAAAATCGGAAAAGCCCCGCCCGGTCGTGTCCGCCGAATTTAACCCGACCACGTTTGTGTTTGAGTTGTTTTGTTATTAGTTTATTATACTATTATCAAAGTACATTGGCGCTATGTACAGACCATAATATTATAAAATAATATGCTACACCGCCGTCTCTTTTCGTTTTTATCTCCCACGCAATATATTGTAGGTATCGTACAAATATATATAATTTACCTACTGATAAAGTCACACTCGGGTATTCTCTCGTGCAGAGTGCGTTATAACACGTAGGACGTATAATAATAATTAATATGCGTATGTATCAATTATTTAAGTCTGTCAAAACCGAACGCGTGAACGCGGTATAATTTCTCTGACGAAAATAATATTATTTGAAAAAAAAACAAAACCATTGCGTGTTTCGCCTCGAGCTGTGTAACGACAGACACACGATCGTGTACAAGTAATATACATTGTGTGGTGCCATTCATGTCGGATCGTTATAGTATAGGTAATATGTACTGTCGAAGTTATTGACTTCCCTTTTTTTTCCCCTGGATTGTTTCCCATATAAATATAGAGTAATAATAATAATATAGTGCCGCCAACACACGAGGCATACCACGGTTAGCGATTGACGAGCGTGGGCCCTGCGTGCATATTATATTATATTCGATTTTTCAATTATTATTATTTAATATTCGATACGGTTTGGACAGGGCCCGTTCCGCCGAACACACTACACAGGTGTAGTGCTGCCAGACAATGCAGGCGTATTTTGCTTAATTTTGTGCTCGAAATTTACCCCAAACTGTGAATATTTTCGATTCGAGCTATCACACAACTATTATTATTATCGAATTTTTAGAATTGATATTTTAGAACTAACATTTGCATCAATAACATACATTTTTGTCTGTAGATCTCGACGATTTCTATGAAAAAATTCGTAAAATATAAAAAGCAACATGTTGATCGGTGATTATACTATAAGAAAAAAACAGAAACCTGGCGGGGTGATAAAAAATTTTGTGCCTAAAATATAATAAAATATACTTACAGAGTATAATGTATTCAAGGCTAAAACAAAACCCATTAATTATGTTATATTGAAAATCAAAATCAAATACATGCGATAATAAAACTACAAGATATTTATAAGAATCAATTGACCAATGTTCCAAAAAAAAAAACATTTTTTAATTTCTAATGAGATCTAGTTAAATTTACAAATTCGAAAATATATATAATTTGTATAATATATAATTTCTTGCTATATTATCACTATGATATAATATGATACCATCATTACTATTATAATGATTTGCAAAATATTATATATAAATATTTTGCAACAATTACAGATTTAAAAATTATATCTGCACATCCTTTCGTCTCGAAAATGATGTCTCTGCCTCTATAATATCGTACCTATAACATAACTACACTTAATATATATGACATTTATACTATACATTTTACATTTACGCCTACGCCTATAATAACTTGTATACGTATACCTATATGTAAACACGTGCTAAAGCTAATGCGGTATACCACAGGTTCGTTTTCCTCTTAAAAGCTAATCGCTGTGGTATAAATGTGTTTCGACCACGTGCTAGTTTATCCAGCTCAGGCGTCAGAAAAAAACCATAAACCATAGACACCATACTGTTTGATAATAACGATTTAATAGTATAATGATGCTACGCCCCACAAATGCATACGTAGTCTTAGATATAGACATACGATATTTAATATCAAAATGTTGTGCATCGGTCTAAAAGGTTAAACGTCGCTATATATGTTTTATATATACCATAATATATATCTACGTCCTGATGGGACGATAATTGTTTCACAGGCTTTCCGTTATCGTCTTTTAACCCTGCGGTAGGTACTCGCTGTATAATAGATATGGGTCCGTCCATTAGGATCGTACACTCGACGCGTTTAACCCTCTTAGACGTTTTCGGGACCAGAGCTGTATAGGGCCATGTGCCATATGCCCATATTATATTTGAACACAACTGCACACAATATTTCATCGCATTATATTATATCGTTACAGAACCGCCTCTGCAGAGGTCGATATTTATCAACGTGCGAAGCGTTTGAGCTGTGTATAAAAAGTCTTTATTATCTAAGAAATTTTATATTCATATAGGCTTCACTGGTGTGTCACAAAATAATTTCTTTTGATTTGCTGCAGTTTTTATACGCCCGTTGTGATAACGACATGTTTTGTGGTCATAAAACATTAGGGACTTATATGGTAGAAGTTAAATAATACGGAGATCGTATCGTTTACAGTGAAGCGTATATCGAATTTACAGTGACACCAAACTTGGCCTCGTATGCCGTCACTGCTACAACCGATTTCTATAAAAACTTCTGTTAAGTGTATACTCTGTTTACCCATCAAAATAGGTACTGCAGTTCATGATTTTAAAATTAATTCGATTGGGATAAAAAAGCCAGATATTTTTTACCATTTTTCTTTCATCGCGTCAGCGACCACCGTAACTGATGCTTCAAGTATATACGTAATAGATATACGACGTCTTTATTATTATTTTTTAATATGGCATATAATATACTTAAGTAGGTATATTCCAGGTAATGCGCCTAGTTGACCGTCTGCCGGGTTAAGACTCCGTGAGCGCCGGGTGATGGTTTCCACGATAATTCTGTGTACTGCGCCGAAACGAAAATCATTAAAAAGAGATTATACACGGGCGCGAGACCGCCAGTCATCGTGGAAATGTCGTCAGTGTTACGCGTCGGAAACGACGACGAGGAAAAACCACACATAATAATAATATAGTCGCTCAACTATATTCTTAATAGAATTATATTGTTATTATTTTCTTATTTTTTTACGCTCCGTTTCGACCGCTCACGGGAAGTCACCTGTATGTACCTAACCTATACCCATGTACCTACCTTATAGTGCCTTGTGTATACCTTTGTATATATAATTATTGCTGTAATGCGTGCTCTGAAATGTAAGCAGGTGCAATAAAGTCGAAAAAAATAATGTTGGTAGCAGTCGACACCGCTTCGAAATAATAACAATAAGAGTAACAACAATAATTAATAATCACATAAGTACGCACATAATCACAATATTCTATATGATCGCAGTGATGGATTATCTTTTGTGCACGTTCCAAGTGAGAGACTATATTGTAATATATTTTCTTGTTCTATATAGAAACGTGTTAATATATATGACTAGGAATTTACCAAGTGTAAATACCATCCAAATAAATATGTTCAAACAAGCAAGACAATAAGTCTTGATTAAAAAAAATTGTCACGATTCGTGGATATGTTCATTAATTTTGCAAAAACTAAATACCTCATAGGTACAACTGTCATTGCAGAGTTTTGACATTAATCGTACTCTCTTCTGGTTGTATTTTATTGATTATATTTCCTATTGGTCTTAATCGATGACAGAGGAGAGGTGCGCAATATAAGAGCTTAGTAGGAACCTGCACAATTAATGTTGAGGACGTCGATGATTAATAATATAAAAATATCATGTTTCAGAAAATATCTACGGGTTATAATATAAAATTTTCGAAAAATAACCATCATCCCTACATACACACACACACACACGATGACTATACAATTATTTTATTACTACTATATTATAACGACAAGATACTTATGTAGTAGGAGCTAGGCGAAGGCTAAGCGATTCGACCTCAATACGCGATAATATATTACACGCGCTGTTTCGACACGTCGATAACAATA